AATCTGAGAAATGACGAGCTTGCAGAGAGGATTTTCGATCACTCCCGCTGAAGTCTGAGAAATGACGATCGTATAGAGAGGACTTTTTATCACTCCCTCTAAAGTGCTCTCTTCTCCTCTTTTTTTTTTTTGGGGCGGGAATCGTATTTGCATGAGTGGGACACGTGTTGACGATCCGATCTGTCAGTTTGATTTTACCGAAGTGACATGGCGGTTTGGCTTTGCCTTGTGTCTAACTGCCCATTTACTTTGTATTAATTTCATTGTCCCCTCTTTTCACTTGTTTCTTTTACTCCTCTTACTTTTTCATCTACCCTCTTCATTATTCTGTCATTTCAAAATTTTTGCTCTTTGCTTTTCCTCTTTCAAGCGTTCATTATCCTCCATTGTTGTGTTAAGTTCTTGCTTGTTCGTCTTTGTTTTTTCTTAATTTTTACTTTATTTGCTTTTCCCTCCTTAATTCTTGCTCCTTCACTGATTTGTTTCTTCTTTGTTCTTCTTAATTGCATGTTCGAACTTTCGTCTTGCTGGGCTTTTATTTTCACCATTGTTGTTGTACTTTGTTGCTTCTGCAACTTTTTTCCTTAAAGGTACTTACTTTCTACCTTTTTTGTTTGTACTTACCCAATTTTGCTTCTTTTTGCTTTTTCTTTGCAAGATTGTGCCTTCTGATTCTTCTCAATTGTCGTTGTTCCCATTTCTTCTCTTTGTTGTTGTATTTGCGTTCTTGGCTTTTTTCTTCTTATTCCTTCATTGTTCCTAAACTGATTCTTTGATTTTCTGGTGCCCCATTGCTAATTTTTTCCTTTGCGGGCCTGTATTTCCTTGTAGATTTCATAATGTCAGACTCTTCTGATAATCAGAACATGAGTGAGCCTCAAACGACCACTAGATCGGATTCCTCTTCCCAATCTTCTCTTTCAGGTGAGCGCCCTGCGCATACTTATCCTATTTCTCCTTCTTCTTCTCCTACCCCTATAAAAATCGTTATGCCTCCTTACTTTCCCCCCGCTGCGAGCGGGATGGGTACTGATGTGACTCCTGCTGCTGCGTCTAGGTCAGGCAGTAGTCGACCCGCTGAGGGTAGTGCATTTTGCCCTTTCCAGCGCAGGCCCCGCCCTGATTTCTTTGATGCTTATTGCAAGCGAGTGCTCACGCTGGATGGGGTTCCTTTATCCCATCTTACTCACTTGAGGTTGCGCGCAATGCGCCATAAAATGATAGATGATGTTGTCAAGGCTAATCCCCCTAACGTGACTCTTGTTAGCCCCATTCCCCGTGTTCAGCCTTTAAACAATTTTTCTTGGCTTGATGACATGGCTGACATGCATCGATTTGATCATTATGTATTGCAAGGTGGAAATACTAGGACTCCAACACCATCTCCTTCCCCAGCAGTTCAATCAAGCAGGATGGTTGAGTCTCCTGGTGACCGCTCATATTACGACTGTCAGCCTACTTATGTTGTGGAGCCCGTAGAGGAGTGAAAACTAATTTTTTTCTAGACGACAAGTGTTATGGGCCCAAGAATTGTGTGTTGGATTCCCGTTGTCGCAAGGATGCTTTAAGGCATGATCTGGCTGCTATTGGGCAGAAGTTCTATGGTTTTGGGGAGGGTTACAAGTTGGTTCTCCTCGCCGATGGTGCGAAGTTATCAGCTCCTCCCGCAGGTCACATTGTTGTGTTTGCCTTGCAGCTAGATTTGGGTTTGAGGTTTCCTTTAGACCCTACCTTAGAGAAGTTGCTTCGTGCTTTCAATATCTGTATATCTCTGGTGCACCCTGCTTCCTTTCACATCCTGATTTTGCTACTATGGTTTCTAAGGTTTCGAAGGTATCTTGAGTCCCTGCACTTGTTCAAGTCTCTCATGATCCTGAAGAGGTCTGCTTCTAGGACTGAGTCGGGGTGGTACTATGTTGCTCCCAAGGAGAGTAGGGTCTTGTCCTACCCAAAACTTGGACGTTTCAGGTACTTGACTGGCAAGTTCTTTTGGTGAGGGTGCCTTCTAACTTTGCTGCCACGCGCAACTTCAGAGAGATTCGTACCAACATGGTCGGGGTCACAGTTTCCCTCTATGAGCCTGCCCGTGAGACAGAAGCTTTTGAGGCCCTACAGGGAGTAGGGACTGGTGACTCCAAGTTTCCCAAGGTCTGGCTGCCCCACTCCATCTACATTGTGGGCAATGAACAACTTTATGCCATGCGCTTGTGTCGTACGCATGGGTCTGGTAAGTTTTTCTGCTTTCTTGATAGCCTGCCAACTTGAGAGTTGCTTTCAGCCTTACTTATGGCAGGAAGTCTAGCTCTTCCAGCATACGCTTTTCATTTCCTTGCTTCTCATAGTGCTGTATCCTCAGGCTGGGGATTCGTACTTCCACTGGGACAACTGCGTCAGCCCCGTAGGCCAGGGTGAAGGGGCTCTTACCGATTGACTCCTTCGCAGTGGTTCTGTTTGCCCACAAGACCTCTGGGACTAGGTCTTCCCACAGGCCTTTGTACTCCTCCAGCTTCTTCTGCAGGGCTGTCAGGATCAGCTTCTTTGCCGCTTCTACTTGACCATTTCTCTGCGTGTGGAAGACTGAGGCACTTGCATACTTGGTGCCCATGTCCCCTAAGTAGTCCTTTATGGTGTCACAGTTAAATTGACACTCGTGATCAAAGACTGTGCACTGTGGCACCCCGAATCTTGTGATGATGTTTTTCCATATGAATATCCTGACTTGGGCTGCCTTTATGAACTTAGTGGGTTCAGCTTCTATCCACTTTGTAAAGTAATCTATCACCACAATGAGATATTTCCTGCCCGCTGACCAAGTGGTGAAAGGTCCCAATATGTCCATTCCCCGCTGAGCAAACGGGATCGGGCTGAGGCTTGGAGTTAGATCGTTTGGTGGCTGATTTATGACTAGTGAATACTTTTGACACTTGTCGCATTTTTTTCACATATGCTAGTACGTCTTGTGTGAGAGTTGGCCAATATGCCCCCCTTCTGAGGACCTCTACTTCCTATGCTTTTCCACCAATGTGGTTGGCGCATATTTCGGAGTGGGCTTCTTCCATAATGCCCTCCTGCTTCCACTCTGGAATACACCTCAGCAGTGGTTTTAAGAAGCCTTTTTTGTTGATTTCCCCGTTCATCACTACATACCAGTTTGCGTCTTTCTTCACCTTCTTAGCCTGTACATCATCATCGGGCAGTGAGTCGTGGACTTTGTACTCCAAGATGTCTGAGAACCAGGCTCTCTGCCTCCCAATGCAGTTTACCTGCTCTTTTTTGGCAATGCTGCTTTCTTCTAGCACTTCAACCATCACTGTCCTTGTGTGGCTTCGTAAGGTGGAGCTGGCTAACTTGGACGAGGCGTCGGCCTGAAAGTTTCCTGCTCTAGGGACCAAGTCTATCTGGAAGTGGACTAGCTGGGCTGCCAATTCCTTTACCTTGGTTACGTACTTCAGCATGGTGACCTCCCTTATCTCATACGCCCCCTGTATTTGGCTGGCAACGAGCTGAGAATCAGTTTGCAGGTGTACTTTGCGGGCTCCTGCTGCGAGACTTATACGCAATCCTGCCAGCGCCGCTTCGCACTCAGCTTCGTTATTCAATGCTTTGAACTTGAACTTTATGGCATACTCGAATATGTTTCCTTCTGGAGATGTCATTATGACTCCTGCTCGGCTCCCCGTTTGGGCCGAGGACCCATCCACTTCTACCTTCCAAACTCCAATATCATCTTCTTTCTCCTCGTAGGAAGCTTCCACTACGAAGTCTACTAAAGCTTGTGCCTTGATGGATGCTCTAGGTTTGACCTCGAATTCGTACTTAGAAAGCTCAATTTCCCATTTTAAGAGTCTGCCCGATGCATCCATTTTTTGTAATGCTTTCTCCAGCGGGTGGTTTGTGAGGACTTCTATTACATGCGCGTCAAAATATGGCTTTAGTTTCCTTGTTGTTGTGACCACTGCGAAGGCTAGCTTCTCTACCAATGGGTACCTTTGCTCTGCCTCGGTCAGCACGTGGCTCACGAAGTATATTGGCCTTTGTTGCTTCTGTCTTTCTACCAGCAAAACGACTGCGATTGTCTGTGTTCACGCAGAGATGTACATCTGCAGCTTTTCCCTCAGCTCCGGGCTGATCATTGTTGGGAGCTTAGTCAGATGCTCCTTAATACCCTCATAGGCTTCTTTCTCTTTAGCCCCCCACTTAAATTCTCTGTTCCCTTTCAATAGCTGATAGAACGGCAGGGCCTTATCCGCTGACTTGCTGATGAACCTGGTCAGCACGGTCATTTTGCCTGTCAGCCGCATGATATCCTTGATGCACTTAGGCTCAGGCAGGCTGAGAACTACTTTGACCTTTTTTGGATTGGCATCTATCCCTCTCTCGCTGATCAAAAAACCCAAGAACTTTCCCGAGCTCACCCTAAAGACACATTTCTTCGGGTTGAGTTTGATTTTATACTTGTTCAGGGTGTTAAATCCAAAAAAGGTCTTTGGGGCAGGCCTTATTAAGATCTGTGAAATCAACACACATTCTCCACTGGCCATTTGCTTTCTTTACCATGACCACGTTGTCTAACCACTCTGGGTAGTCACAAGGTTTAATGAATCCTACTTCTAGGAGCTTCTCCACCTCCTCTTGGATTGCTTGGTTCTTCTCCGTGGAGAAGCTTCGCTTTTTCTGCCTAACTGGCTTAATATCCTCCTTCACATTCAGCCTATGTACCATGACTGCTCGGTCAATTCCGGGCATCTCATTTGCAGAAAATGCGAAAACATCTACTGCTTTAGGGCAGTTATGTAACATTGTTGGGCTGTCTGTTGACTTCCCCTGAGCTTTGCTGACCGTCTCTCATTAGTTGTGTAGGCCATGGCAAGGTGATAGGTGGATACCACCCCACCTATCTTGTGGATGAGCGGTCTTCCCATGATCACATTGTAGGGTGAAGGGGAGTTTATCACGAGGAACTCTGCCCGGACATCACGCCTTCTTGATCTTTCCCTTACTCATACTGAGAGTTCGATTATGCCTTCTGGGGTAAGCGTTGACCCATTAAACCTGGTGACTTCGTAGCTCACCCTCTTCAGGTCCTTTCTGTCCAACTTCAGCTCGTTGAACGCACTGATGTATATGATGTTGGCTGAGCTGCCTCCGTCTATCAATATTCTATCCACCTCCCAGTTTGCGATTCTCATTGTCACCACCAGCGGGTCATCATGAGGGTAAATTATGCCCTTCTCGTCATACTCGTCAAATGTGGCATGCGGCTGCGGGGAAGAGGTGGCCATCTACGCTTATCATTGTCATTTATTTGATGTATCATCGCCCGCAAGTCAACCCGCGCTCTGTTAACTGTTCCCCCATGTACTGGACCCCCGCTGATCACATACACCCTGCCTTCTGGCTTGCCATCTCTGTCTCTATCTCCGGCTGGGCCCCTATGACCTCCTCTGCGGTCAGGGCGGCCTGCTCTATCCTTATCCCTCCTTCTGGGAGGGTCATCACGCTGCTTAAACTGATTCAAGTACCCTCTCCTAACTAAGTCTTCTATGTTGTCCTTCAAGTGTGTGCATTCTTCAGTGGTGTGACCATGGTCTCTATGGAAGTCACACCACTTGCTGGTATCACGATTCCTGTTAACCATCCTTGGAGGTCTCTTCCACTTGTCATCAGCTTTATTCATGCTGAATATATGAGACCTGGAATGGGTTAATGGGGTGTCAAACCTCCCAGGCCTTGGCCCTCTCTTTGGGTCTAACCTTCTCAGTCCTACTGCCCTGTCCGCTTCTCTGCGGTTTTGCTCAGCCCTGCTCGACTAGTCCATCCTGGGTGTGTTCTCTGCCCGGGTGATCTCTGTCCGCTTAACTGAGTCACCCGGTGCTTTCCTACCCAGCATTGCTCTATTAGTCTCGTCTGCTTTTATGAACTCGTGCGCTTTAGCGCTTCAGCAAGTGTTTTGAGGCTCTTACGCCCCATATACGCTCTGAACGGTGATCCTGGTAGTAAGCCACTCTGCATTGCTAGTAGTGCTACCTCCTGGCTCATATTTGGGATGGTTGTTGCCTCCTTGTTGAATCTAGTGATATACTCCCTCAAGGGCTCATCTTTCCCTTGAGCCAATGACATCAGCTCGGTTGTCATCTTGGTTTGGTCTACCAGGGTTATGAAATGCTCCATGAGCATTCTCTTCAACTGGTTGTACGAGTATACGGAACATTTGGGAATGGCTCCACACCACTCCGCTGCCAGCCCCTCCAGGGTCGGTGGGAAAGCCTTACACCATACTGAGTCTGTCATAGTGTAAAGTACCATATGGTTCTCAAAAGCTGATATGTGGCTTTTGGGTGTTGTGGTTCCTTTGTATCTGCAGCTTGGCATCTTTACTTTCTCCATTGGTTCTTCCATAATCTCCCGGCAAAATGGGGAATCATCTGGAACAACCTAGATTCGCGCTCGTTTGTCTCTCTCCGGGATGGGTCCCCGCTCTGAGGCTGGTGACCTGCTGCGGGGGACCCGCTTCTCCAGGCTGATTCGAGCTGGGTTTATTTCCTCCACACTCCATTCTCGATTCAGGTTACGAGCTTCCAGCACCAATACCTTCTTCCTCAGTTGAATGAGCTCTTTCTACTCAGGGGTGAGGGTCAAGAACGCCGGATTTTTCGCTACGGGCTCCGCAGCTGCCGCTGTCGGTGACGAACTTGCCCCCTTACCCATATCGGTGAGGACCACAGTCATTACAGCCAGCTACTCCTTACTGCACTTAGAGAGGTTCTGCAGAATGGCTGGCATATTTACGGGCTGTGGTTTCTGGGTTACAGGTGCTGAAATAATGAGCTCATTGTTCGCGCCTATTAACGGCATTCCGTATTTGAAAATGGAACTGGATCCCACCAGATCTGCTGGTTTCGACGCCGCTTTAGCAGCAGCTAATGTCGATCCGATGAGGTTGGATTTCTGCAAGATGGTCTATTTGGGGTTTCCGGTGGATCCTTTTGGATTGATGGTTACTGGGGGGTGTTTTTTGTGGTGTTTGGTTGGTCTCATTAGTTTTAGACATGGGTGTCAGTACAGTTTCTTCTCCGGCCATGGTGGTTAGTTAATTAGTCCCTAGCTCAGTTGGTGAACCTCAGGTTAGATGATCCTTCCCCTCCTTCTAGCGCCAATTGTTCCAGGTGTGGATCCAAGAGTTCTGCTGGGTGAACTGGGTCCCGTCAACTACCTACACAAGGCAGCACACGTAAACTGCCCTCGGGGGTGGCTCGAGGAACCCCCCTCTGAAGCTTAAGTTAGATAGTGTTTAGAGAGAGAAAGTGTACTTAGAAAGATGTAGAAAGTATAATGACTTGAGTGTCTCACCTCCTTTTCGTTGTACTTTACCTTCTATTTATAGGCGTACCATCTCCTTCATGGAGAGTTCAGCCTGGTCAGCCCTGCGGGTTGACTCTACCAGGCTAGTGAGCCCTCCTTTAATTGCTTTCTCGGTAGTGAGTGTGCACCCTGGGGGCTAGGCGATAGTTCAGCGGGAGCTATCCTATACAATACATGTTTAAAATTGATTAATAACGGACCCAAATGCGTCAAATACAATAATTGGATCCATTAGAACCTACATTGTTGAAAAACCGAGCCAAACAAATAAACCAACCATCAAATTCTCGTGCAATGCCTATACATATGGATAGCCCTTTCAAAGATATTTCCAACGGTAAATTATAAGCCCAATTCCGAGAAAAAACGAAGAAGTTATGATCAAAACACTAAACCGGGCTCAAAACCGACACCCTTGCACTCCAACGGCCATAACTTTTGATCCATAACATATTTTAACCTAACTTTAACGGCATTGGAAAGTATACTTCCAGATTTTTCCAATGATATCTCACACGCCTAAATCCAACTTCGCAATCAAAAGTTATGGAACTTTTAAAAACGCGTTTTCGTATAAGGCAAACCGCAAACCAGCGCAACTCAATCAGTTGCGCGCGAAATCTAACGCCGCGGCTCTAAAACCCTAAACTGAGATTCCTACGCCTATAAAAGGGGGTCTTCGCACAGCTCTAAACAGACAGAAAATCATAATTAAAAACCCTAATAAATTTCTGAAATCCCTAATCTCTCAAACCCTCTTACTATCATACGACTTTTTCCTCTTTCTTCCTAATTACTCTACAACCCTAATACATCCATTGAAGCTGTTGAAGGTACAATGAAAAAAGAAAGTCCATAAACGCATAAAACGGAGAATTAGCATAAAAGAAGAACATTTAGTTTCCTGAGCACTTAGATAAATCACTTTTCTTTTATTGTTTAAATAACTTTAATTGATTAATTAGTGTTGTTTGATCATTTTAAACAAAATTTTAATTAATTAATTCATATAGTACTCTTTCGTTAATCAAGACTAGAATTTGGATAATTAATTGTTGTTTTATCACTTAAGACAAGGCGAATATTGTTTATTTCTTGTTTTCTTCACGAATTTGATTAATTAAGAATAACGACTTTTCAATGTAATTCCTACATGATTGATGTGTGTAAATAAAATCGATAACATAGTTTTAGGTGTCACATTGCATATATTGTTTGGTGATGAAATTGTGCAAAGGAAGATGACAGAGTAGAGTCTTATCCCCTAAACAAAAATAATAGCTAAGTCCTCTAACTAAAGCAGATAGGGAAGTAGGTCGAACTCCACAGGAAACAAGTCTTCTTATTCCTAATAACTAATATAATCTAGATTATAAAGTAACCAATATTTATATTTGAATAATGAACTAAACTACGAAGATTAAGAATAGAGAGAAAAACAATATATAAAAGGATCTAGGGCATAGGTTCACCAATAAATAACACTTCAGGGTAGAACATAATAATCAATCTTTGACATTGAATTAATAACATGATTAACAGGCTCTCGCAATTTATTAATCAACATAGATTTAACAGGCTCTCGTAATTTACTAGATCTAAGTTCTTATTGAAAATAGCCTTTAATATCAAATTAACATCTGCTCGATTCATCAATTCAATATTGCTATACTTTTACAAGCCATAATTGTAAAGCGTTAAAACAATTCAATAGAAAATTATCATGCAATATCAACAATCAATAATAGCTAATCATAAATGCATCAATTAACCAGATCGTAAAGGGCTTTCGCTACGTATTACAATCACACAATTAATTTACCGGTATTAAATCTCATCTCTCGAATCTCGACTTAACCATTTACAAATTAACCTGCCTATTGAAACTAGACCTAAACATCAATTCTCATCTGTCGAATCTCGAATCAATATTGTCAAACTCATGCATAAAAGATCAGGCCTAATCTAGTCACAGAGCATTAAATCAATCAATAGGAAATTAATCTAGCAATGATAATTAATAACAATAAATTACCCCTTCATATTATTTAAGGATCCCCATAAACCCTAGAAATAAAACTACTCACTCATGATAGAAACTAAACTAATCAAAGCAATGAAGTAAGACATAATCAAGGGAATAGAATAAATAACTAATATTAAGAGAAGAGAAATAGTTACCAAACGCATCTGGAATTAATGAAGTAATTAAGAACAAGAGATGAGAGAAAAGTTAAGAGAGAGAAAAATCCTAAGTAGAGAGAGAAAAATCCTAAGTAGAGAGAGAAAATCTAAGAAAAGAAGGTCATCAAAAATTACGTACAAATCTCGTACTTAAACGTTTCCTAAAACAAAAATTAAAACTAACTAATCAGGTCTTGAGAAAACACGCGCCCGATCGGGCGAAGGGCCGCCCGATCGGGCCCGCCTTTTTCCTTGCGCTCCTTCTTAGCAGCGTCGCCCGATCGTGTTAGACGCTCGCACGATCGGGCATGCTATAGGCCACGCACCAGCACCAAGCATGCCAAGCCCGATCGGGCCCTTGCTTCACTTTGAGGCTCGGACTTTGATTGGGCTTGATTTCTCGGCCTTATCCGGATTTCCTCTTCGGGTCTTGAATACTCGGTCCAAATACCTCGGAATCTCGATTACCGAGCCCTTAATCACCGGCTCGATGACTCCAACCGGCCTTGGGATTTAAAGATGGTCGTGCTCTTCTAACTCTCGTAGTCGCTCCATGAAAAACCCGAGAAAATGCTCCAAAGGCGCAATTTCCTACAAAACTCGATAAATACTACGAAAACACTAGAAAACACAAATTAGTGATAAAATTGGCTCGAAAGAGCCAAAAACACTACTAATTATGACTAAGGGACGGGGGTAAATTACTTTATAAAATGGACATATCAAACTCCCCCAAGCCAAACCTTTGCTTGTCCCTAAGCAAAGAGCTCATCAATGAACATATAAAACATACTTCACCCCTATAATCAAATCAAGCATAAACGATTCAAGGCAAGTCTAATGAACATGCTTCAACATCAATCAATCTTATTCATCTAAGTACTTTTCCTCCCCAACAATTGTCAAATAAAGTAAACCACAAGAGCATATAGAATTCAAGACTAATGCTCACACACTCAACTCTCATTTATGTGGCGAGTAAAAGATGTACTCGATCGCTCTCCAACCAACCCCTTTAATGTGAACAATGCCCTCCCAACTCACACTCTCGTGTGTAAAAGAACAATGAACGCTCAACCTACTAGTCGACTCGAAATATGTCAAGTCATAACTTGCATTGATAAACAACAC